TTCAGATAGGTATACAAAAGGATGGTATATTTCTGCACGCACAAAAAATATTTCGACTTAAAACTTAAATTAAAAGTAAATAAGAATATTTTCTGGATTAATTTATAAATCTAATAGATACGTCATTGAATTAAATTAATATCATCTATCAGAATGTAAGACAGTGACATACGTGTATTTCTTTGTCTTCAAGGATTAAAAATGTCTACTTTCAAACTTCACGGACCAAATAGACACCTAACTTAAACTTCATTAATGATTTTGGTAATCTATAATCATCTCATCTAACATTCTTTCTCCAACTTTTCATTTTTTTATTTCATTTATATTGATAAAAAATTAAATTTATTATAATCATTTGATTTAAACTTTCGAATTTAAGAGTAGTTCAATAATATCCCAACACGAGAAAGAGGAAGATGTTATATATTATATGCTTGCTCTTAAAATTTAAACTCTAAAAGATTTCCAGGTAAATCGCAAAATATTGGATACTTTATTCTTTCTTAATTTTAAAAAAAATTCATTTTTTTAATTTTTTTTAAGGGATTGATTTCGGTCGAAGTTTGAAAACTTGGGTTCAAACGTTGGCATTTTCAGATTCTTATTTGGTAATGTAATATTTAAGAAAATAAATCGTTTATGTATGAAAAAATGAACCTCTCGAGTTTAACTTTAGTCTTGAATAAATAAATAAATAATTTTGGCCCACGTTTCAATGAAGTCAATTTCTATATGTTGGTTGTGAGAATTTCGAGTACTACTCCCACCGCAATAAATATCTACCTGATTATATATCCATGAAATTGATATCGGCCCGAGAAATAAATCACATTTTCATAATATTACAAAAAGATCAACCAATTATATAAAATAACAACAAAATTGTTCTAATATAAATATAATATTAATATTAATAATTTTTAACTTATATAAAAATGGTGAAACGATTATTTGTTATTTTAATTTTTTTTAGAATCTATATATATATATATATACATATATATATATAATATATATTTTATTACTTTTCCAAAAATATCCATTGACATGAAACCTTAGTGGTGTTATTACGTTCGTCGATATTATAAATTTTCTTTCATAAAAAATGTTTGTATTTTATTCCGCTCATTTTTACATGATTCTGACATAGCATATTACTACCATTTAAATATGAAAATTTAGATGTCAAGTAGATATTTAAAATTCCCACAAAAAAGACACCCCTAAAAGAGGTAAAAAAAATATTTTAATCACTAAGTTATTCTCCTATATATTTTTTCAAAATCATTTCTAAATCTCTAGAAGATAATAATTCTAAAATCGTATTTTTTTTTTTAGATTATTACATCACCTTGGAGTACAAAATTTGAACCTACACTTAAATGGAAAAGATAAGGCATTAGTATCTAATTTTTTTTTTCGAGAATATAATATTATAATTGAGACGAGAACAAAGAATTGAATTTTCCACCTAATACAGAAGGTTACTAACCGTTAAAATTTGTTCGTCTCCTATTATTATGATTTGGGAATGCTAAAAAGTTCTGATTCTAACTCAAATTGTTTGAGTCGGATTATTAGGTACATAAACAACCTGACTTAAAGGTTGAGTCAAAATAAATAAACAGTCCATAATTCTCCTAAAATTTTTATGGTTAAAAAACCTACATAAATTTATTAATTAAACAAGCAATGTATTAATGGCTAATGTTAGAGTTCCTTTTACTTCCCAACAATATCCATTAAATTAATGGTTCAAGTTATTGAAATAATTTTTTTCCAAAATAATAATATAGAACATCAAACTACTATTTCAAACTCAGTCCCCAAATTACTACTATTTTTAATTTTTACCTCCCATTCTTTTTTCTCACGATTTATTATTTACGGTAAAAATAAAAACGATAGTTCTAGAAGAAGAAATATAAACCAAGAAATTAAAATATAAAATATCTCAATCAACGTTGACCCAAATTTCTTCCTCGTCCCCTTTTTTTCCTCTCCTCTCTCTTGTCTCACATATCTCTCTCTAATTCTCTCTCAACCACCATGATCGGCCAAAGGCAAACTCTAACAAGTAAGCTCTCTAATTTCGCAACTATTTCCCTTAATCTGTAATCATCAAGCACTAATTTTCCTTTATCTGAATTACTAGGCAAGTTTACTTCATAAACTAATTCTTCTTTGTAACTTCTATTTTTCTTTTGGATCCCTATACTGTAATGAGTAATAACCCTATTTATGCTGGAAAAATGTTGCAACTTTTCAGCTTTTTCAAAACATATGCATAATTGTTCTCCGTAATCTACTTTATGTTCGATCGAGTTTAAGTTTGATTTAGATCATGTTAATTTTGCAAAATTTAGACTTTCTATTATATTTAAAAACACATATTTGTCCATTGTATTTGAACTCAAATACTCTTCAAATTTTCCATGTAAATCAAAAAATATTATTTAATTTTTTTATATTATTATTTAGTTTATAAGGTGATTTGTGTAAACTGTAACCTATGACCTACTACTTTTGGTGGAACTGGATTTTAATGGAAAGTTCTACAGCAATTGAAATATTTTAGTAAAATTGACTTTGGTTTTAATAAAATAACCAATTATTATATTCATCTATCTAGGAGATAAAAAACACACTTGCACTTATATTATATTTTCGGTATTTGTTTAAATGTCAAACATTTTTGTACAGCTGAACTCAAAGAATAAAATAAACAAAGTACAGCAAAAGCAAAACCAAATATAAAAAATTAAAAAAAAAAGTATTACTTTATTAATGTTAAGTAGAATTAGTAAGATTAGATCGATACTTTGTTATAAATATATATAATGTAGACTCTGTGTTTTGAATTTAAAAATTCTCTCTAAAGTTTTTGGTATTGAAATCGATGTTTTTGTATCTACTTTCAAATCCAGAAATTGACAAAATTTTATTTTCTTAGTTTGTAACCAGGCGACCTACCAACTAATTTTATACTCAGAAAATCTAACATTTTAAAACTAAAACGATAAGATTCAATTGGATTTTTAAGTATTAAAATGTGGGGGGTCTCTTGTTTTCCTTATCAGTTTGGCTAATCGGGAATTCTTCAACGGCGAGAAAGAACTGAATCAAATATGAAGACGTTCTCAAAATAAATATAAGATGTTTGAAAGAGATTGCTTACCCGGGAGAATTCCTCCAAGTTTCTGAACGCTGTAGTTTTGATGGCCCCTTCTGAAGAAACAGTGCATTTCCTGTGTTCCACTTCAAAAAAAAGAGATTAAAGAAAGAAGAGAAGAGAAGAAACCCATGTTCTTCAAGCTCGCAATCATGGTGTCTCTGTTTGTGAGCTCAGTCTCTGCTGCTTCTGGAGGTCCCAGTTTCATCTTCAATGGCTTCCAGCATGCAAATCTATCCCTCGATGGCATGGCTGTTGTTACCCCTAATGGCCTCCTGAAACTGACCAACGAGACCAAGCAAAAAAGTGGGCATGCCTTCTATCCTAATCCAGTAAATTTTGTCAACTCCTCCAATGGCATCTCCTCTTTCTCTACCACTTTTGTCTTTGCCATTATTTCTGAATACCCATTTCTAAGCGGCCATGGAATTGTCTTTGTGGTGGCTCCGATGAAAGGCTTCCCCGGAGCCACTCCAAGCCAGTATCTTGGCCTTTTCAATAAAAGCAACAACGGTAACGCAACCAACCATGTATTTGCAGTAGAGCTTGACACGATTCAGAGTACAGAGTTCAACGATATCGATGCCAATCACGTTGGCATAGACATAAATGGGTTGGTCTCTGAGAAAGCTGAATCAGCTGGATTTTTCGCAGACAACGACGGGAAATTCAGAAACTTGAGTCTTATAAGTGGCCAACCAATGCAGGTTTGGATTGAATATGATGGTATCAACAAAGAAATCAATGTCACTTTGGCCCCAATTGACATTCCCAAACCCAAAACCCCACTTTTGTCTTTCTCCCGAGACCTTTCGTCTGTCATAAACAACTCCCTGTTCGTCGGATTTTCATCTGCCACTGGCTCGGTTTCAACTTCTCATTATGTTTTAGGTTGGAGTTTCAGATTAAACGGGCAGGCTCAAAGTCTTGACATTGCTCACCTCCCAAAGCTGCCTCGGAAAAAACACATATCCAAACTTTTAACAATTGGGTTGCCTTTGATTGCTGGAGGGATTCTTTTGTTGGTGATTTTGGCCATTGTTCATGTGGTCAGGAGGAGGAAGAAGTTCGCTGAGCTGCTGGAAGACTGGGAACTTGATTATGGGCCTCACAGGTTCAAATACAAAGACTTGTACGTCGCGACAAATGGATTTAAAGAGAAAGGGCTTCTGGGTTCTGGTGGATTCGGACGAGTCTACAAAGGGGTATTACCAAAATCCAAACTTGAAATTGCTGTCAAGAGGGTATCTCATGAATCAAGGCAGGGAATGAAGGAATTTGTGGCTGAGATTGTTAGTCTTGGGAGGCTCCGCCACAGAAACCTCGTGCAACTTTTAGGCTATTGCAGACGCAAAGGAGAGCTGCTTTTAGTGTATGATTATATGCACAATGGAAGCTTGGATAAGTACCTGTTTGGCGAACCGAATCCCAGTCTGAATTGGAACCAGAGGTTTCGAATCATAAAAGGGGTGGCGTCGGGGCTGCTTTACCTGCATGAAGAATGGGAGCAAGTTGTGATTCACAGAGATGTCAAAGCCAGTAATGTGTTGCTAGACAATGAGTTAAATGGAAGATTGGGGGATTTTGGGCTGGCAAGACTGTATGACCATGGAACAGACCCCCAAACCACCCACATCGTCGGGACACTCGGATATTTGGCTCCGGAGCACACCAGAACTGGCCGGCCAACGACCCACATGGATGTGTTTGCTTTTGGGGCATTTTTGCTGGAGGTTGCGACTGGGCGGAGGCCGATGGAGATTCGGGGAATGACAGAAGATGTAATATTGGTGGATTGGGTGTTTTTATGTTGGGCGAGAGGAGCTATTGTGGAGGCCAAGGATCCAAACTTGGGAACAGAGTATGTAGCAGAGGAGATAGAGATGGTGCTGAAACTTGGGTTGTTATGTTCTCAATCCAACCCAATGGCCAGGCCCAGCATGCGCCAAATTGTTCAGTACTTGGAAGGGGACGCTCCCATGCCGGAGATGACTTCTATCGAAACTTCAGATGGTGATTATGAAGGTTTCGATGATCTTGCCATGTCCTACTCGTCTTCCCTGGATAAGGCTTTCGCTCATTCTTCTTCTTCCTTCGAGAAGGCTTTCGCTCATTCTTCTGATGCTCAGTCTCTCCTATCTGGTGGCCGTTGAATGTTGGCTTTTATCAACGCTTAGTCCACAGATTGGGATTTTTTCACCTGAAATAAAGTATATATTTGTTACTGAGTTTGTTAATACTACAGGTTATAGTAATCCAGACTTGTTTGCTGTTGTAATAACAGTGTGAAATAATCCCAATATTCTTTGCTTTCGGAGTACCCTTGTAGCACAGTTTCTAAATCTTTTGGAACAATAATTTAGATTTCATACTATACTATTATTAAGTTAATAAAAAAATAAAACTTATATTTATAGATCCAGTTGATTTTTTAGGCTTTAAAACAGGTTTCAAAAATTAACAAAAGGTGTGGCGTAAGAATTCGAGTTTTAAAAATTTAATCTTCAAGACATCAAATATTTTCAAGATTCATCCATTGAAAATGCAGAAGTTTAAGAAAAAAAACAAAAAAAACAAAAGAAAACTATACCTTTTCCTATGTGAAGGATCAGAAATCCTTTTTTTTTTAATTTCACATATTTAAAGGCAAGAACGGAATAATGGTTGGAAGGAAATTTTCTTCAGAAAAATGTTTACTTCGTATGGATGTTTTTCTAATAAAAATTTAATACGAGTGGACAATTTATGTCCCGTTTTTATATGTCTACAATTTCCCGATGGTCAATAATCAGTGAAGTGAAAACAATTTGAACAAATCTGAAAATCCTCCGGATCTAGTGGGACCCAGACTTCAGCCTGGCATTTAATCCAACGTGGAGAAAAGAGTTCCGGAAAATAAAATTAAAGAGGGAAATTTTGATAAGATTACCGAAGCAGTGGTTGTGGTTGTGTTGAAGCATTACCAAATAATGGCGTCTTCCTCTGCGATGTTATCATCTTCTCTTCTTCCGGCCAGAGCTCCGACTGGTAACCGTCAAGACGGCCGACTCTGTCTCTTTCAAATTGGTTCAGTCCGTGCCAACAACAGCAGGGCTCGTGTCCCTTTTAGGGTTCAGGCCGCAAAGCTTCCGGCTGGAGTACACTGTCTATCCTCTTCAAATTTGTGAACTTTTCCCATTTCTGTTTCGCCTGTTGATAACTTTGTTTCCATCTGAAAAGCTTAGATAAATTCAGAATAATAAATTCATGTGGGCTAGCGAGTTACCTTTTTCTTTTCTTTTTCCAAGGTTGAATTGCCAAAAGTAGAGCCGAAATTTGAAGCCCCGTTTCTTGGATTCACTAAAACTGCTGAAATCTGGAATTCCAGAGCCTGCATGATGGGCCTCGTTGGGATTTTCATAGTAGAGCTGGTGAGTTTTCCGTTAGGTTTCTATCTTTTACTTCTATATTCAAATTAGTGGGTTCTATTCATTTTTGTCTGATTTTTCAGATTTTGGACAAAGGAATACTTCAGGTGATTGGAGTTGATGTTGGTAAAGGCCTAGATCTTCCTCTATGATTTCCAGAAAACTTGTAATCATCTTGAGATCCTCTGTTCTTTCATTCAAAATTGTAACTGTAACAGAGCACTTTCAACTGTATCAGAGAATTCTACAATCTTCAAGTTCTTAAACTTCAAAAGTTTTTACATAACATCGTCAGTGTAGAGAATATGTTCACTCTCTTGTCTTCTGTAAGGATTCCTAATAACCAGAACTCGAGAATATTGCAAACTAAATAACCCTACAGATTCGAGTATCGATAACAGGCACCTTGGAAGGAGGCTGAGCTATGTCCAGTGCTTCTGCCAGTGATAACCTGCGATTCCTCCAAGCAAGTTGCGCCCATTTCTTCATCTGCTCTCCTTGAGTCTTTCTATTCTGTTGGACGCTAAGTACCTCCCCATACCCACCTACAGAGGCAACCTGATGTCAGTGACTAGTTTCATTATCGGTCAATACTCAGGTCACCACGGTTATGAAGCTATGTCTCTGCTACAATATCATATGAATTTATGAGAGATTTTCAACCATAATCAGTGGCGGGGTATGATCAGTTCATCTGGGTATCATTTAAGAGTGCAACTGAAAGCTGTCAAATGTTTAACCACTAAAACTCTAGTTATAAACATTTTGATCTGATGCACTGAATTGTTTGTTCTTTATATAAGCCTCGAGCCAAATGCTTAGAGTCGCTTAGATGCTTGATCAGTACCTCTAGCGATGGCTGCTATGTCTCTTCCGTCCACCTTTGCTTGTTCTCCCGTGCCTTCAAAAGAATAAACCATTCAGTTTAAAATTAATAAGTTATGATGGTGAGTTGGTTCATAATACCTTCCACCTCTAATGGTGAAACTTTCAGCATCTCTATTGCTCTCCTATAGAGTCCCTGTAAATGAAATTTTGGAGCAATCTGCTGAAATGCAAGTATGCAACTAACAAGAAAAACTTGATAATTTGATCAGAAGCCTAATTGCGAACTGAAACTGAATTGCATAGACAACTTTGCGATGACTAAATAAGTTGTATAATTTTTAAGTACTAACTTGACAAAAGATTCGAGAGTAGTAGAGTATGCAGGCAAGTAGACAAGATGAACGAAAAGCCAGGATCTTTGGAAGAGAAATCAACACCTTTCTAAATGCACAAAATGATGAATAATTTTTGCTTATAATTGAAGGGAGTTTAGAACACAAGTGAAGCAGGGGAAAAAGCCACGCCACAACAATTCTCACAAAGTAATTTGATAGTAGATTTACACGAGACAAATGATTCAGACCAGAGCTACCTCTTCTCAAATTGACGTTCGGTTAACTTCAGACAATTTCATTTTCAATTAGAAATCTTCTAATGCAACTTCATTTCCCTTTTGATAGAACTCTTCCCGTAACCCTTGCAAGGGCACTAGGAATTGGGACTTAGTATTTACTGCTTAATGTTTCTAAGTCATAGTTACCCTTGATATGTCACTTCTATAACTAAAACACTTCGCCAAGTTAACTAGACTAAATTACCAACCTGCGCCTCATGCAACAAGTTTGATTAACAACAAAGAATCTACATATTCCAAACAGAAGAGAGCAGGAGCAAAATCCAACCTCCTGAATCAAAAGTGAACTTGAATGTTCCTTCATTGCTTTGTGTCGAAACATGAGTGCTATGCAGGTTAAGACAACGCCAACCTTGGGATGGTGAGATCCTGTACCATGTAATGTTCCTAAAATCAGAACCCCAGATCCACTTGGGAAATAGCCAAACAATGCCACAGGAGAACAAACAGGAACCTCAGTTGTATATATATTGTACAGATTCAAATATACTGGAAGTTCTAAACTAACTAGCATACCAAAATATTCTTCTGTTTTAGTTAACGCATTTGTCAGTATGTCCTCAGCTTCAGCAAAATTCCTAAACAAAACAGGGTATAATTAAGATTTGTGATTCATGCAACAAGGAAATCTAATTGACAAGTAGCCCAACATAGCAGAATAATCAAGATGCTACCCCAAGTTCCCCTCAAGCTGTCCTAAAGAACAAGTCGCAGCCAAGTATACTTCCTTTGGAGACATATTACCGCCAGCTAATGCACATTGCTCGCTCAAATCTTTGACTTCTGATCCCATTTCTATTACTCTCTGATACACCTCTTTTGCTGATGAAAAGTTGTGTGTGGCATGTAAGAATTCTCCATATGATAAAGCAGCACTGCCTACAAACCGAAATGTTAATAGAATGTAATAATTAAATTTTCCCACGTGGATCGTTAAAAGTGAACCTCACCAGCACATCTTTCAATAGTTTGAAACCCTTTAAACAACGATTCAGCTGCATATAGATAACCAATAGTTAACTTAAGTAAAAATTAGAGACAGAAACCACAGCAGAACAAAGTTGTAGAGAGAAAACAAAAATATAAACACCTGCTTCAAGATTATTATTAACAAGCTCAACCAGCCCCTTTACAGCTTTAACACGAGCTCTCAGAACCCCAGAATTTCCATCATCAGCATTTGGCTCACTACTTTGCAATAGTTTTGAGCATTTATCTGCGATAACTGATGAAGAATCATCCTATATATGAAAAATCATCCCCAGATAACTTCGATCCATGTTACTTAATTTGAGGTGAGAAAAGGAAAAGATCACTTGAAGCAACGTGAAAAGCAATAGGGATATTTACCAGGCCTAATTCGAGATGAAGTCCAGCAAGTGCTTCAAGAGCGGCAACTATAAGAAATACAAGAATCAGTTACAGTCGAACACGAGCCCCCGATAATTAATTTGAACCGAGCTTAACAAGGCTAAAAGAATGGACTAAAAAGACTTGGAAACTTTACCTCTAATGTCAAGGGAGGAATGTGCTAAATCCTCGACTCGCTGAAGCTTATCTATAGCATCCTGAACATTACCTCTGAAACAACCAAAATGGAACAACTATTAAGCAATCAGTAATTCTATCCAATATTATTACCCGGCTATATAAAATGAATCGAACAAGAATAGATGAAACAGAAGGAAAACCTTTCAGAAAGCAAAGTAGACATAGCAAGTAATACTGCTCCCCTGGAGTTATCGGCATCTTGACCTTCATTTGATTGAGCAGAGAGGCACTGCTCCAGAACCAGAAAACCTTGTGCGTATGATTCGTCTAATTGTCACATTAAGAAGATTACAGACCAAAAAGAATCATACCCATTTTTGACATAAAAACGACTCCAGGAGTTGTAAGAATCAAGAAACAAGACGAAATAAGTAAAACAAATAAAGATATGGACCTGATTTCAGAGACCTAGCGTGAGAGAGAGCATAATTGATCATCTGAAGAGTGACCGAGCTCGCATTTGGGCGGTCGATTCCAACGTGAAGTAGCCTCAACGGTGAAGCTAGCCATAAGCACGACGAAGGAGGAAGAAGAGAGCAACGGGAGCATGAGCCCAATCTCGCAGTTCGAACGACGGCGGCGGTGGTCTTGGACAGCAGAACGGCGACGCGATTCATGGGTACCAGAGAGTCGGTGTTCGAACCAAAGTTTTGGCTGATTATGTGTTGCCAAAACTGGCCTCCCTCCAAAATCCAAAATACGAGAGAGAGAGAGAGAGAGAGAGAGAGAGAGAGAGAGAGAGAAAACGCTTAAATTCAACGCCAAAGATAATAAATGAGTTTATAAAGTTTGAGCATAAAAAATATTTGTCAATTTTCACGAAATTGTCGAGTTTTTAAATTTATGAAAATATTGATGTCCATAAATATGTTTAGAAAATTCAAGAAATTCATAAAATATATGTATAACCCTTCCAAATGAATTTTATAGTTTTTCATGGTAATATTTATTTTACAATATAATAAAAATATAGATATCGATATTGAATTCATAGATATGTAAAATAGAAATATCAACATGTCGAAAAAAATCTAAAATCGTTTAAATCACCCCATTATGGGAAGATGAGACAAATACGTGTTTAAACATTTTGTGCAGTCTTTATCTTCAAGTTACTGATATTTTCAACCTTAAATTGCTTTGATCTTCTTCAATCATCCCCGTTCTCATTAAGTTTAGAACAGCGGAACTTTAACAACATCAACATAGTGCAAACTCTGCCTATATATTCCATTAATAGTCTCTCTCACTTAATCACCCAATGAGAATATAAAGTAAGGCTTCTAACAACTCAAAAGCAGCAAGCAACAATATTTTAAAATGAAGAGAAAACAAAAGCATGAAATTCAAAACTTCAACGTTCATCAAGCAACTTTACCCTTTTTGAACAACCCAAGCAATCGTTTCCATGAAAATTTGACTACTTTTTTTCATGTACAATGAGAATCTGCTTGTGTGGAAATGAAATTTCATGATTTTTGCAATTAAATAAATCCATCATCTTCAGGGAGAGCAGCATATTTGAAAGAGAAAATGTAGCAAAGTGAAGCATCAGTTTAGCTGAGTACAAGTTCAATCTATCAAAGCGAGAGAGAGAATGACCTCAATTTGAAGGAATGGATATATCCCTTCTTTACAGTGAAAGTGAGAGTGGGAGGAGTATCACACGGGAAAAACAAAGGGTTGTCCAATGCAGCCTTTAAATGATACCTCTCTTCCCAAATCTGTCAGTCAGATCACAAAGTTTCAGATCATGTATTTCTTTCTGTTTCTCGTCTTCTGTTCCGCGATCTCCATCTTGCTTACGAGTAATTAAGCGTACTTGGATAGTTTCGTCTTTCGGTAACTTTCCTTTCCTATTCACTTCATGGACTAAGGTTTTCCTTTTCTGCTTGCAGGTGGAGAGCAACTCATTTTAGCAAACAACTGCAAGGAAAGTGTCTGGCCTGGAATACTCGGCAATTCAGGCCACCAGACCCCAATGGATGGTGGTTTTCATCTCGGCAGCGGCAAGCACGTAGTGTTGGAGGTGCCAAGGAAGTGGTCAGGCAGGATTTGGGGCAGGCAAGGCTGTTCTTTTAGCCATGATGGCAAAGGAACGTGCGACACTGGAGATTGTTCGGGCAGATTACACTGTCGAGGTACTGCTGGTGTTCCTCCAGCAACTATGGTTGAAGTAACTCTGGGATCATCTATTTCGCCCCTGCATTACTATGATGTTAGTTTGGTAGATGGGTTCAATTTGCCTCTTTCAATGAAGCCGATTGGGGGTGGAACTGGCTGCGGCGTCGCATCCTGCGATATCGACGTGAACATTTTCTGTCCATCAGCATTGGAGGTGAAGAAAAAGGGAAAAGTGGTGGGCTGCAAGAGCGCCTGCTTAGCAATGCAATCAGCCAAGTACTGCTGCACAGGGAAGTATGCAGACCCCAAAACCTGCAGGCCAACACTATTTGCTCATTTATTCAAAGCCATGTGCCCCAAGGCTTACACCTATGCTTTTGATGACCCTTCCAGCCTTCGTAAATGCAAGGTTTCACGTTATGCCATCACTTTCTGCCCTTCCATGTGAGAACGATTCCGAGTTGCTGCAGGAGGAAAAGTCTATGACAGTACAAAAATAATGCCTTCTAGCAGATCTAAAAGTTCTATAAATTGTGGTTTATTCAACCATCCTATGTTTCCTATCTTCTTTTTGTTAGCTACATAGAAATAGAGTCCAATGAGTATATGTTGAAGATTTTTGCATTATGTATCAATATAAATATCATGTTTCAGAGAAATCAAATTAGTTCATCTTTGTTTTAACCTCAACTTGCTTATCAAAGTTATATCTATTGCTTTGAGTTTCCTATTCAGACTTCTATCAATATTTTGTAATACATATCATCCCAGAAAAGAGATTGACAGTAAAACAACATGTTTATAACTTGCTTTAGTGTTCGTAAATGTTCCCTCATATTGACAGGAGTAATAGCTTTTAACTAACCTATAGAATAGCAACAAGTAATCTTCAGCAGAGAGATTTGTATTCATTTTCATATCTTGTGCAAAAAACAGCCAACAAAAAATAAGCTCTTTCTGATTCTTTGGAGCAACACTTTTTGGATAAAACTCATGGTTAAAACAAAACAAATACAGAATGAAAACACTTTGTCAAAATTCCTAGACCAACGAAATAGAATTATGAGAGTATAATTCCACACGCTCAAATGTCCTAATTAAAATTTTTTAAAACAAAGCACTCCCACATTTATTAAACTTGAGATCCTCTACTAAACTACTAGCAGTAAAAAAGGGAAGAGTGAACTGGAGTTTCATTGGGCAGAAACCAATGAATTTAGTCGATTAAACAACAACAACCTCTCAAGAACTTGAGGGCCTCTTTGAGAGTATAATTTTTGTTGTTTCTAGGGAATTACCTTCAATATCCACCGGTGTAAGCTCCATTAGCTTCCAAGACTTCTTCAGGAACTTCCATCTCGTGAATTATTTCCCTCATGCACTTGATGACATCCACACTCTTTCAGTAAACCACCTTCGATCCTTCTTGTAATGGTTAATATCTAGTCTGATGCGTGGCAGCAGGTGGTAAGGCCATGTAGACTAGATCCAGTCATTAAAAGTCAGTCGACTACGGTCAGACCAATAATGTCAATCATTCACATTTGACTACCCAGCCTTACGAGCTGGCCACACCAGGTGACAATGACCAAGTGACAATGACCAAGTGTGACCTATCCGATGAATGATCTACCTCCATTGCAGTATGCTGCCATGTGCACCTCTCTAAGCGTGTTTGTGGCACACCTCCGCAACAATAGGTGGCATAATAGTATAGAAATAACCCACCACGTGCAAGTCTCGTAAGCATGGTCATAGCCCACCGTCTGTTACTAAGCACATGGCGATTTGTATATATACCAATGTGGACATACCTGCCACCTACCAAGTCCACGTGGTCACTTGCATTAGAATTAGCAGCCGGATATGAGAAATTTCTCCAAATAAATATGGGAAGACACTCAGTTAGAGGTATGAAATCTACCCTTTATCCAATTTGATCCAAACTAACTATGATTTAATCATCATAAAGTCTTTGGCCAACACTACACTAGTGCCTAACTTCTTGTTCACAGGTATTCAAGTGGGCTGCTATACAACCCTACACCAATTCTTCGCTCTGAAAATCAGTGTTCACCTTATCGGAAGCATCCAGCCTCAGTCACCCACGTGGAGCACTATGTGGCTTGCCACGTTGGTGAAATCAAGCTTGAGTAGTACCAAAACACTTCTCATTATCAAACACAAGCAAGTTCAATCCAATCTATTCGGAACTTTAACAGTAGGCGAAATACATATTCAAGCAACACCATCCCCAAACAAAATCCAGCATGAACTCAACGCAGACTAGCTAACCCAACATTTACACAAACAAAATCAGTATAATGCATTATTGAATTTGTAGTTAATGGTCATAATACACCCGTTGGATTCGAACCAATTTTCTACCAATTGTTCGTTTCATCAGGACTGCCTACACCATCTGACATTTATTAAACTCCCTTCTGCTTTTTCGAAATTAAAAATAATTAAAATCTTCAGTTCAGAGATTCGTTACCTAATCAATAAGGTATTAGGGTTCAACCATACCTCGCCAGAGCAGGACGACAACCAAAATTGCTTGGCGCGCCATGAGAGAGGTAATGAAATTGAAGAAAAAGAAGAGGCTGAAACCTTGAACTGCGCTTGAACGATAGATAAGATTCGACATGTCGAATTGTTAACTGGGTTGGTATGGGCTGGACTTCGGAGGCCCATTAAATTACTAAAATCCTCATAGCCCAAATAATAAAGGCCTTTAATATAACCTGGCCTGCAACCAAAAGAAACATTTATACATAATCTTTTTTAAATTATTATTTGATTTTGAAATTCCCAAAATATATGGAACATATCATTATAAAATAAAAGTTCACACACTATCTCTATATTTTTTGCTTGATTCATTTTCACATATATTTTGATCATGTTTTTTCAACTTTTGCCTAGTTCTGTGTCTTTAGAACATATTGGTTATTATACTTAAAAGAAAAACTTACTATTTTTTGCCTGCGATTTTCATTTTTTAACGTATCACTTAATTTATTTACTAATTAAAAAAACATAATCACAAATGTTTATAAATTATTTCCATTGTACATATAATATGTGTTAAAATTTTATAAGTGATCATTTTTAACGTATCACTTAATTTATTTACTAATTAAAAAAACATAATCACAAATGTTTATAAATTATTTCCATTGTACATATAATATGTGTTAAAATTTTATAAGTGATCATTCTTAAAAAATAAGAGAATTAAAATGGATATTTCAAAAGTACCTGGACCAAAATTAATTAAAGTTTAAAGTACAGTAATCAAAATGAAGGTTTATAAATTACATGGACAAAAATAAATCAAAGTGGAAGGTAGATCCACCCAAATAATATTTGAACTAAAATAAAATAAAATTTAAAAGATAAAATGAATATGATTTTTTCCAATACAATAAATATGGAGAATATGAATTCAAATCTCCAATTTAAAAAAGTAGATATTATTTATTGTTGACTTATGCGATTAAATGCATATGATTTATTATTTATTAATAGGTATTGCTTTTTTTTGTTTTTAAGACATTATGTATTACTTTGGTTTATTTAAATTGAAGACAGACGCACATGGCGGCAACGTACAATAATTAATGCTAATTATAAATTAGTTTAATGAAAATCATATAACGAAATTGGCTTAGTAGTTAAAAAGGCTAAAAGAGTAAATTCCACGATTTGACAAGACGCGCCCCCGCTGTTGAAGTTCCACGCAATTGTTTATAGCCTCCATTTCCGTCTCTCTCTCTCTCTTTCTCTCGATTTTACTACAGCACTTAAAATTTGAAGCTTTTCTGCAATTTTGGCATCCATCCTTCCGTTCGAGGAAGATCATTTTTGGATTCTTGGAATTTCTTGGGGTTCGTTGAATTGCGCGCATCGAATTCGAATCGGTAATTTCAATCTCTAATCAATTTTATATAATTAGGGTTTATTTGGTAAAGAAGTTGGGGACATTGTTTTCGATTGATCAATTGATCGGATCGACGTATTGGTGCTACAGATGCAATCGGTTCCTCGGGGTTCGGGCTGGGGCCCTAGATTCGGTCCGTTGTTCTGACTGTGGTGGAGAAAACGTTGAAGAATTTTGGTCGCCGCCCTCTCTGTCTCCGTTTCGCCATCGGTTTCCGGCTGCTGCGATGTACCACGATGACGCTTCCGACCCAGACCCCTCCTTCGTCCCAAGATTGCGTCGCAGCAGAAGAAACGGTGAGGATCGCGCCCCTTTTAATCGTATCATCGTTCTACGCGATCCCTCTAATGCGGGCGCTATTAGCAATAATGGTATTGGAGCTGGAGGTAATTACGAGATTTATTATGATGATGGTACTGGGTCTACCCTGCGGCCCTTACCTTCTAATATATCCGAATTCTTGATGGGATCGGGGTTCGACCGCCTTCTTAATCAATTGGCGCAGCTGGAGGTGAATGGGGTCGGCTCATTGGAACACCCACCAGCTTCAAAGGCTGCAATTGAATCTTTGCCCGTGGTTAAGATTCTTGCTAGCCATGTGCCCGTGGAATCACATTGTGCTGTCTGTAAGGAACCGTTTGAACTGGACTCTGAGGCTCGAGAAATGCCGTGTAAGCATATCTACCATTCGGATTGTATACTTCCTTGGCTTTCTATCCGGAATTCATGTCCGGTTTGTCGGCATCAGTTGCCTACCGATGGACATGGCAGTGGTCGGAGCTCCCCTGCGTCTGCAGAAGAAGTTGTTGGATTAACAATTTGGAGGCTTCCGGGTGGGGGATTTGCTGTTGGGAGGTTTACCTGGGGTAGGGGAGCTGCAGAGCACGACCTTCCTGTTGTTTACACTGAAATTGATGGTGGGTTTAGTACCACCAGCGGTATTCCAAGGAGGATTTCATGGGCGTCAAGCGGAAGGAGATCAAGTGAGGGTGGTGGTTTTCGTCGTGTTTTTCGCAATTTCTTCTCTTTTTTTGGCAGGTTTAGGAGTTCATCACATCATTCTAGTTCAGGGACTGGTTTAATGAGAAGGAGTTTCTCATCTACATTATTCAACAGACGCTCAAGGAGGAACAATCACCTTACGGCGTCCTAGGCGAATTATACGTTTCCTGCTTACTTATACTTATAGAGAGGTTGAATTCCCAGCATGTACTCCCTTTAGAGATTTTGAGTGATACTGGACCTATAACAGTCTTCCTTTTGGGTGATGATGTAGATGTACAATTTTTATTTTACTTTTACTAGGTGTATATAGCAATACATCAAAAATAAATACATAATTCGTTAACTTAAATGTAGTTGACTGGAGAAAGTATATGTAGAGACAAAGAAGGGAGAGAGTTGTACAATCTGCCTGGTCAAGGTTTTGTGGCAGTTCAAGTATTTAGTTGTCTTTTGCTGTTTGATGTTAGAAGGAAAGAGGTGGGTAAGGAGTTCTTGCTGATGTCAAGTAGGTTCATTTATTTTTGCCTTCTATGCAATGTAACATTGTAACTTCACTGCGAAGCAGCTCTTATCCTTAAGACACGAAAATCTACATTGCTTTAAGTTAAATTTCATCTCTCTGAACTTTGCTATATGGTATTCTGTTGTACGATTATACTATCTCCTGGTGAAGTTTATAGCTTCTCTCCCAGATCTCAGCTCAAGTATCAAAATTACCCCTATCTCATCCCACCTTTAAAGAAGGCTGATTGACGATGCCAAGGAGGGTGGGGATAATTTTATACTCAGGTGAGGTCATATTTGTAATTTTGTTATTCTAGCCAGTTAATCTATATACAGTTGAAGAACTTTTCATTCTGGGCAGAGGCCTTTGTTTATTGACAAGTTGATTGATACATTATTGTTCAAAATCATGCTGCTGTACTTGAAAAGACTCTTGGCTCTAGAAAGCTCCAAGTATTCATAGCTTACTGGTTTTATTCTGTGCACCAATATATTTGATATCATCAATCATTTCTTAACTTAAGGATGACACTTGATGCATGTGCACCTTCCAGCAGCTTTCTGAGTTCATATCAAAGTAAATGTAGCTTTATTCCAAGTGTAATTTCCTTTATGGCACCCAATCAGATGATACCAAAGTGCTGAAAATGAGTAAGAGGACGTCTCTTTCTCTCTTGTATGAACTTGTCAAGAGTTTCGGGCAGGAAAGTGAGCACGCAGCACAGGTTGTACTCCTTTTTCATGTCTTGAAAATGAACTACCAAGGAATGGAAAGCTTATTCGTTTTGTTTGGTATCAGAGATGTAAGGTCACATGTGTTGGAACTTTTTGAAATTTGTGTCCCTTATGCAGATTCCTTCTCAGTCATGCCACTCGGCGGCAGATGTAAGCTGTGATTGTTGGATTTTTGTTATAATATCTAAGCATAAGTGACAAAGGCATAATCAGCGATAAGACGAGACAAGGAGTTGTTTTTGAGGTTCTTTGCATGATACAAAAATAAGGCTTTTCATGTCTTATACTATTTGGATTTTGTATGTGACGAATGACTGATCAATGCACATTTCAGTAGGGAGGCCAAAGGATGTTCGAGACTAACCTACCTAAAAAAATGTCTACATCTGTTAATATGTGTGATTTGTGACTCGTTATGATTATGAAAATTTTGTGTGGTGGTTATTATTTTTATTTTGTTGGTATACGCTCGTTTGGTAACATTCCTGTTTCTTAATTTTTAACGAAGAAAAATGTATTGCGTGATTCTAAATTCTAAGAATTCAAGTATGATAAAACAATTTTTTTATTTATGTTTTGGAACAAATTGGAAAAGGGAACGAGAAAGGAGAGACTAGTTTTTGTTTCTAAAATTTCTATATAATTGTGGAACAAATTGGAAATGGGAACAAGAAATGGGAGACTAGTTTTTGTTTCCAAATTTCTATACAATTGTGAGAATGTTTCTAAAAAAGGAGAAACAAGAAACAAAGTTAGTTAAAAAAATATTTAGATTTCTTAAAAAAATTGGAAACGAGAAACAAGAAATGGGAATGTTACCAAATGAGTCCTTAGTTGCTTGAATGACTTTGGAGCCAAATTTGAAAATTTTTGTGGTTACTTTATACATTTTTTGTCGTTTATTAAGTTTTTAAGTGAAATATAAATGTAAACTGTCGACGATGAATTTCAGAGAAGTTCACATGTTTTTCGGAGGAGTGTATGCGGCCTGTAAGTAAAAAACTCGACGTCTATGCGGTGTCCCACCTAATAGGAATAGACACCTTGGGATTTAAGTGACAGATTTTTCACTTACCTAGTATTTAAAAAAGTCGACGTCAATGCGGTGTCCCACTTAATAGGAATAGACACCTTGGGATTTAAGTGACAGATTTTTCACTTACCTAATATTGGAAGGAGTCCTATTTTGTCCGCAAGTTTCATGCTGCAATCTTTCATCCCAATCCGACGCGTGTAAATTTATTACACGTCAAAAACATAAGTGTGTTATACAAACTATATTTTAAACACAAAACAAAAAAGTTCAATATCTTCAACTCACACACATTCTTAGATTGAAGGTTGAAGGTTGAAACTTATAATTTAGCATAACAATACTTTCCTACTAGCTACATGGAGCTCGCCACTAAATTTTTTACAAACATGTTTTAAAGAAAAAATCTACTCTCTCCTTCTGGTCAAAATTTAGAGTATTTTCCTTAAACATCATAAAATCCAGAATGTGGGCCATCCTTATCTGCAGAGGTGCGAGAACTTGAAGTCCGACGTAGCCTTATCCATAATCCAAATTTCGAACCACCAAATATAAAACTAAAACCTCCATCATCACCAATATTCAGATCCAATTTCTTCAGTTCCCAAACAATAAACATGGCATCCTTGTGTTCATTTCCACGCATTTTCTCTGCAGACCCCATCAAGCAATCGCCGCCGCCCACCGCCCCTTTTCCGCCGTCCAATCAATTCGCCGGGAAACCGCCGGCCTTGGCCTTCCGGCATAGCACCGCCAACAAGAAGAGAACTTCCACGCTGGTTGCCGCTGTCGGAGACGTCTCCGCCGACGGCACCACCTACTTGATCGCCGGCGCCCTCGCCGTCGCTCTCGTCGGAACTGCCTTCCCCATCCTCTTCTCTCGCAAAGATTTGTAAGCAACCACCGCAAAATTCCACTCCCAATTCGCATAAATTCAACATTACATTTGATTTTTATTTTGCTATTTTACATTTATTGGGAATTTCGTCGCTGTTCTTGATGTTAATCGCTGACAATTGGTTTTTAGATGTAACCATGAATATTAATATTTGATTCCGATTTTGATTTCAGTTTCTGGACATTAAGGAAAATAATTAAAACTTCAACTAACTAACATGTGTGTTTAAGAGGGGTTTTTAATGGCGGCGGTGGTTTTGTGGTGTGCTCCTCCGCAGGTGTCCGGAATGCGACGGCGCCGGGTTTGTCCGGCAGGGAGGGGCGGCGCTGAGGGCAAATGCGGCTCGGAAAGACCAAACTCAGATCGTTTGTGCCCGTTGCAATGGCCTCGGCAAGCTCAACCAAGTCGACAAATAAATGTATAAACTTTTTCCGTTTTTATTTGATTTCGTTTTCAATTTCCGTTTTAAATATAATCCTAAATTACATATTTTATTAATGTGAATGTAATTAAGTATTAAAATATGTTATTAGTTCATCTACTTCTCAATTTTGCTTGTGATAAAATATTTGTCGAAGTGAATAAAGTTCAACAGTAATTAACATATTTCAAATTAATAAAGTTTTGAGTTTTATCTTTGACTAAATTGTTGCTGAAAAGTACCAAGAATAAAAAAATATTATGAAGGTAAAAGTACATGGGCCGAAAATATAATTTAATAATTCTAATTTTAAATTAATTGTTTATATTCCTCATGTTTTAGTAATTTGTTATAAAATGTGTCTATATTGTCGATATCTAGAAAGGATGTTTTTCAAACATATTAAACAATAATGTATGTTTGTTAAAACAAATTTTTATTATAGTTTGTTGACGTACTAACCTAAAAATTTATGTCAAATGAGAGCTAACCTATTTTTTCAAAATCATCTCTTAGCAAGTGCGTGAAATTATTCCTATGTTTCTAAATTCCTCTTGATTCTCTCTCAAACAAAATTGGACAGCGATTCTGATCATGATCTCGTCATGTTCTAGTAATTTTATATTTTCAGATCCATCAAACCTATTTAAAGTGATACATATTCTCAATCAAATTAAAAACGTGATTTTACATGTGGCAAAAAGTTAGAGAAACTTATTTAGAAAAGGATGTCATATCTCATTTGGGTTCAAATTTTCAAATCCGTCCAATCACCTCTATGGTGTTATACATTGAGTCATTGAGAGATGTTTTTGGAATTAAAAAACGATTTATAGGGTTTTTTTAGAATGATTTATAGGCATTATAAAATATATATAATATGGTGATATCAATTTTTATTTTCCTAATATATTATTTTTAAGGTAATGAGACATTCTTAAGAATATGATTCAAGACAGAACGCGAACGGTGGACTGTGGAGAGGTTATTTATATTTCTTGATATTATTAGTTAAATAATAATTTCTACTTGCAATTAATAGGCTTCTCATTCAACGAATAGAAATTAAATTTGTTGACCAAGAGAAATCAAATCAACCACCAACATACTATGAAGGCGTTTGTCATGTGAGTGTGAATTATTGTAAATGTATAGTACATCACACTACCTTCTTAAAAGTTCTTAGGTTTTCTATAGAAGTAATGTCCAAAGATATGTAGTGTAGAAAGAAAATCTTTGTATTTGAAATCTGTATTTGTCCCTCCTCAATTTATAGCTACATAAACCTTGATAACAAATATCCACTAAAAAGTAAAATACTTGGTCGCATCGTAAAAAATTACCGAGTATGTTTTACCATTGTGGAATGCCAATTGCTAGGGACTATCCCTCAACATCATTTGAAAGACCTCACGATCATTTTTCTCTTAGGGATCTCTTCTCTCATGATATGGAGGGTCGTCTTCTTCTAATATGAACAAATTTGAAATCAATTACTTATAACTCATTTGGTAATATTCTCGTTTCTTATTTCAATTTTCTCTTTTTTAATTAAAAAAAAAAAGAATTGTTTGGTCCCCAACACCTATGGATGCAAGAATGATAAACCAATATTTTTATTTACACGAAAAGAAATTAGAAATGAGAACCAAAAACAAGAAACTTTGTTTTCGTTGTTTCCAAAACTTATATACAATTTCGATAATATTTCTAAAAAACTTAAGAAAACAAAAAACATAAATAGTTGTCAAATGCTTAAATTTGTTAATAAAATTGAAAACGAGAACAAAGAACATTACTGGATGGACTTTAGTTACTAATAACTATCATTTAATTCTGAGTTAAAATAATAGGAACAGACAGGTAAATGGTAAAGTAATTTATTTGGAATGTTCTAGATTTATATGAATAGTCG